CTTTGAGTTGTAGCTATATTGTACTGAGATGTTTTTCTTTATTTTTTAATAAAATAAATCTTTCATAAATAAATAAAACACATGGTTCATTTATGCATTTTATAAATGAGGAAACTGATTTCCTTAAGATTAAGTAGCTTCCCTGGTTATTGTAGAACTGAGCCCAGCCTAAATGACACTAGTCATGTCTATATAATCAGGATTTCCAAATATGCCTCAATTAGTTGTACTGTATTCAGCAACAATCACTCAGAAAAATTAACTTACATTACTAGTATTTTCTTCATTTACTTTTTGGTGCTATTAACTGAACTAGCTATTGGCTGGTTTTCGAAGAAATATGGGCAAGGCTACTATCTTAGTCATTGTTCAATAGCTGTGAAGAGACACCATGACCAAAGCAACTCTTTTATGAGCAGTTTCCTGCCAGCCTGGTCCCAGAGTGATGGGAGATGTAATGTATAATGTAGTACAGATTATAGATAATTACCTATGATAGTCAAAGCTTAGAGTTTAGTTAGGGTTTTCAAGATACACAGAGATGTATTTAAGATAGATAGGAATACTTCAAACCTTTCAAAGGCCTACAGAATATGGCATTTAAAATGATTTAGGGTTTTTCTTGACAATGAGACATAATTGTTCCTGACAACACCACCTGCGTCAAAAAGAAAGATGGACATTGAAGAAACTCGTTATAGAGTTTGCTTCCAATATGACAAAACTAGCCATTTGGACAAGATACTGCTCTTGTCTGGACTGTTTGACTTTGTGCTGTATAAACTGGACATACAGGACACACAGAAAAGTGACTGCTGATTCAAGATGGACATTGCTACAGCGTTCCTGCTTCATGGAAGAGTCTGCCAGACAGTCTACAGGACACAGAAAAAAGTGACTGACAAACTACCAATACAAAAAGACAGTTTAAAGTTTCCTACTTTGCTAAAGAGTCTGCCAGACACACTATGGCCTATGGGCTAAAGATACAAGATTACAAAAAAACTTCGGGTGACCAGGCAGTGAGTTGTCTCTGTCATTTCTAGAGTTTATATACTATCCTTCTGTGGTCTTTGAAGGAATTGAAGACAGATAGTTATGGTTATAGTTTTCCTTAGTTAAGATTCAATGATAAGGTACATAAAGACTCACAAGATAAAATAGATGATAAAATATTTTCTTAAGTCTTACTAAATGTTAATGGACTAAATATTGTTAACTGTGATTCTTATTTGATAACTGTTGTGTTATATATTTTGCTATGTTAAGGTTAAAACCCTTCTTTTTATTTAGACAGAAAAGAGAAGATGATGGGAGATGTCATTCTGTATGTTTCTCATACTGGTTAATAATAAAGCACTGTTGGCCAATAGGAAAGGAAGATAGGAGGGACTAGGAGACAAGGAGGAAATAGGAAGTAGGAAGGAGGAGTCAAGATGGAGAGTCTGGAGAGAGCTGGACGCCAGCCGCCTCCCCGGTAAGAGAAGGCCATGTGAATATACATAGATCAGCAGAAATGGGTTAATAATTAAAGGCAGAGCTAGCGGATAAGAAACAAGTAACCGGGCCAACAGCATTGTATCAAATACAGAGTCTCTGTGTATTATTTGGGGCTGGCGCGGCAGCAGGACTAGACCAGGCGGCAGGCGGAAAAACCGTACTCGTTACACCAGAGCCATGTCAGTCCCAAAGTAATACACAGAGATGGTATTTGTTATAAAGCTGTTGGCCAATAGCTAGAGCTTCTTATTGGTTAGCTTGCCTTAAATATTAATTTATTTCTATCAATATAAGTGTTTCCATGTGGTCTTACCTTACTAGAGAGAGGGACCAGACCTCTTTCTTCTCCCATGGCCTACATCTTGACTCCTCTCTACTACATCTCCCAGAATCCTTGTCTCCTTGTCCTAACTATATTGCTTTCCTATTGGCCAACAGGGCTTTATAAGAGAAATATATTTATAGAATGACATCTCCCATCATCTCTGTCTAAAATAAAAAAGAAGGGCTTTAACTTTAACATAGTAAAATGTGTAACAAAATAGTTACCAAATAAGAACTATAGTTGACAATATTTATTTAGTTCATTAACATTTAGCAAGATTTAAAGAAAGTATTCCATCATCTATCTTTGTGAGTCTAAAGTCTTATATGTGACTTTTCTTTAATCCTAACTAAGGAAAACTATAACCATAACTGTCTTCAACTCCATCAAAGACCACAGAAGAATAATATATAAACTCTAGAATTGACAGACAACTTGCCTGGTCAGTCATCAGAGGTTTTTCTATAATGTTCCATCTTTGGCTCATAGGCCATAGAGTGTCTGGCAGACTCCTCAGCAAAGCAGGAAACTTTAAACTGTCCACCTGTATTGGCAGTTTGTCAGTCACTTTTCTCTGTGTCCTGTGGAATGTCTGGCAGACTTTCCATGAAGCAGGAACCCTGTAGCAATGTCCATCTTGTTTTAACAGTCACTTTTCTGTGAGTCCTACATGTCTAGTTTATACAGCATAAAATCAAACAGTCCAGACAAGAGCAGTTTCTTGCCCAAATGGCTAGTCTTGCCATATTGGAAACAAACTCATAATGAGTTTCTTCAATGTCCATCATCTTTTCTGATGTAGGTGGTATTGCCAGGAGCAGTTGTGCATCACTGTTAAGAATAACCCTAAACCATTTTAAATGCCATAGGTCTTTGAAAGGTCTGAAGAATATCCATCTCAAATATTTCTCTATATATCTAGAAATCCTAACATAAGTTTTGATCATTATAGATAACTATCTATAATCTGTACTAAATTATACATTACATTGTTAATGAGCTATATAAACACAATACCTAAACAAGAGGAGAAATATACACATCACAAAATTGATCTTAAATTGTATCAATAAATGAAAATCCATTCCAAAACAAAGTATTCATTTCTGTACTATAATCCCATTTGTACCTTTAAAAAGAGATTAGTTGTCATTAACCATTTATAACCAACCCAATTTAAATGAAAACAAACATGTATAGACAATACTTGGAAATTTGGGTGTTGTTCTTTTCAAACTGCTTCCTGTTGTCTTGGGAATCCTAAGAAGACACAGAAAATCCTGGCTGTAGTGTCTGGAAGGCTCCCTTGTCCCAGCTGTTTGAATGTTGGATCACCTGGGACATTGTTTCGGGGGGTCTTGCTTGATCAAACCATGTTAGTCTGAAAGGAATCCATAGCTTTTTATTTTCTATAGAAACAAAAATAGAAATTCTTTTCACTAGAAACCTGTCCTTAGACTTAAATTTTGAAGTCAAGGCATTTTAAAAATATATAAGTTGGATTAATTCAGCAGCATTAATAATCAAGTGTATTATAGCAATTGTTTCTTCCTTAGCAACTGAGCAATTTAAAGACAACACAATAACATATAGTACCCAGACTCTCTGTGTATTACTCTATTTCTTTTACTTGTTTTTTTTTTTTTTTTTTTTTTTTTTTTTTGAGACAGGGTTTCTCTGTGTAACTTTGGCTGTCCTGGAATTCACTCTGTGCACCAGGCTGGCCTTGAAATCACAGATACCTGTTTTCCTCTTCCTCCCCAGTGCTGGAATTAAAGGTGTGTGCCACCACACCCAGCTACTCTTTTTCTTTTTTAAAACCACTTTATCCTGTTTCTTTTTTTCTTCCAAGCCTATGTATATTTTTAAACACACTGTAAAAACCTTTTAGGTTTTACTTCATCTGAATCTATTTTTACTGTATATCTCTACCTTTTTTCTAGCCACATGTCTTTTATCTGCTAAACAACATTGATAAAATTAAAGCCAGGCTGTTTTAGCTGCTGGCTTTCCAATATGGCAGAGGTAACTTTACCGTCAGCATTGAGAGTTGTGCTCACCGCCTTGGTCTGTGCTGCCATCAAGCAGCATGCTGCCTGCTTGGAGATGTGGTCATTGACAATGTCAGCTGCTAATACACACCATTCATTTGCTAGCAGGGCCTCTTAAAAGTGTCCTTCGATTTTTTTCTGCTTATGCCAACTCAGGACACCTCCCTTAAAGGAAACTTGAGAGTCTCAGCTTGTCTTTAGCAAAGCAGAGCCCACCTGAGAAAAATGCTGCTACCAAGAAGCCTTGCTTGTCTCTATTGTTTTTAAAATCATTTTTTAAGCTTTTGTTAACTTTTAAGTGGAAGTTCTCAGTACCCATGTTGTAGGCGCCATTTTGTTACAAGCAGTTTCCCGCCAGCCTGGTCCCAGTGCCGTCTCAGTCCCAAAATAGCATACAGAGACACTATTAATTATGAAACTGTTGGCTGGTTACTAGCATTTCTTATTGGCTAGCTCTGTCTTAAATATTAACTTATTTCTATTAATCTAAGTATTTCCACTGGTCTTCCCAGAGAGAGAGAGAAAGGGAGAGGGAGAGAGAGAGAGAGAGTCCAGACCTCTTATTCTTCCCATAGCCTACATCTTAACTCTGAGATAATGTTTTTATGATTCAGCCCCGATCCCCAAGGCTTAGTCCTAGAAAAATGTAAAATGATTCACGGATAATTTTTTAATAAGGATAATGTATTAAAATGTTAATAGATTGTTATGGGTTAAATGATATTGTAATTAATTTTACTTGTTTGTAGCTAGTTAAAAGTACCTACTGGAAAATTTTATTTGACTCCCATTAAATGCCTATCAGGTGCTACTTCTCAATATATTTTAAAACAGAACGTGACCATCCTCATTTGACTCATGAGTTCCCCGAGAGGCTAGCAGGATAATGAGTTCCTTAGCTGCACTCAACATTTAATTGCTGTGTAGAGGCTGGTAATTTTCCATGCTCGACATAGTCTAGGGCAGTTTGTGACCTAGCCACATGGATAAAATAGTTGCTGCAGATTTCAGTCATGGAGTGTGTGAATATCTCAACCTGCAGATGGGTCACAGATGCTGAGTACCACTGGGTTTATCAAGGGAAGTTTGCCCTTGTCTTATTTCCTTTACTCCTTTATTTTCAGTGCTGGAAAACTTGGACCAGACAATTGTCTGTCCCACCTTCAGCTCGCTGGAGAACCAGCAGGATTTCCGAACTCCAGAGTTTGTAAGTATTTCATCTTAAATTGTTACTTGTCATCAAGATTGTTTATGAGAAATAGATCCTGTTCTTCAGTGGTTCAGTCTGGCATGGTACCTCTCTGTGACTATTTGGTCTCTGGTGTCTCTGAGAAGCAGGTTGATGGAACTTGAGCATCCTGGGTTTGATTTCACACTGTGTTTGTGCCCCCTGACAGGAACTCATTCTGTAGGAAAGGAGCGAGATGTTTCCAACATTACCTGCTTTGATGGCTGGTTCTGTGACTATCAGTTTCTGCTTTCCTAACCCTTGGAAATTAGTCTTGACTGAGTACAGACAATGCTCTGGCCTGGGTGCTGTTATTCACCATGGAATGGCCCATTTATCATTTCCTTCAGGAACCTTCAGCAATGCAACCTGGTAGGGCTAGGAATATTTTATTGGTTGTTTCTACCAAAAGGGAAACTAATGGTCCTACTCAGTTAGACACTGAAGATTAGCCATGGCTCCAACCCTCAAGGAATTAAAAAAAAAAAAAAAAAAAAAGGTATTAGATGCCACTGTGATTTTATTAGTGCCTTGTTTAAAGAAAAGCAGAAAAGCATGTAGGGTGCTTTGCAGAATGCCTTTCAAAGCAGAATTTTTTTTTTTTCCTTTTGGAAAGTTGCTCTTTTTTTTTTTTTTTTTTTTCCAAAATAAGTTTTATATTAGGCTCCTAAAGTGCTAGACTCTTGGACTGAGAAGGCATAGCAGCCTTTACCTGGATTTACCCAGCTTTTTCATTGCTGCAAATAACTTGTCTACCATTTCTTTTTGTAATGGAGTGTGTGTGTGTGTGTGTGTGTGTGTGTGTGTGTGTGTGTGTGTGTGTTCATGTTCATGTGCATGTGCACGATCAAGGTGTGTGTCTGTGTATGTGTGTGTGTGTGAGAGAGAGAGAAAAAGAGAGAGGTATCTGGGTGTGTGTGACAGAGAGAGATTCTGTGTGTGTGTATGAGAAAGAGAAAGAGGTGTGTGTGTGTGTGTGTGTGTGTGTGTGTGTGTGTGTGTCTTTTGGAGGGTTTATTTTCAAAGTGTGATATACCTTCACCATTCCAGTAGTTGGCAGAGTGTGACTGCATCACAGATTCTGTGCATTTCCCATCTCTCACTCTTTGTGGATTGCCTGGTATACTGAGCCATGAGTATGGAAACAAGACAGGGCTATAAGCTGGCAAGGATTGCACGTAAAAACTGTACCCTGAGTGCCATTTCATTTCAAAGTGGCGCTTCCATGGTGTCCTTGCAGATGGCCTGCTGTGAAAAGCCCATGGCTCTAATACAGAGGTTTGGCACTCAGTGACTCCCTGTTACAGTCAGTGTGAGTGTCTGTGAAGGGGAACTGTGAGTACACTCCAATAATCCTATGTCTCAAAGGGCACAGCGATTTGATACAAACGAAGACACCACTGATACGGATTTAGCTCGTCTTTTACCCAGCTGAACTGCTTTTAATTGAAACTTTATAAAATATCATAACTAATTTAACAAGAGTTGTATGCAGCAAGGTGCCTCATAAACATACAGACTTTACATCCATTCTCTGCATGGAAATGTAAGTTTTCTCAGCAGTAGGCTGGTGCTTGACCCTCCTTAGCAACATCCATACAGATAGTGCATAGTGGAGATAAAATGTCTATCATTTTCCATCGCCAGCATGCATTTCTTGGCCTTCACATTTTCATTTTCAAAGTTAGAAGAGTGGCTAGTCTAAGATCAGATGACCACAGATGGAATCTAGAATCACCAACTGCAGGTGTCTTGGAGTGACTTATTTCAACCTGGTTCTGAGGGTGTAGAAGCCAGAAGGAAAATCTTCACTTGAGTTTTTACTATTAGAGCATACTCGTACAATATATATGATCCTCCTGTATGTGTACTCAACAACACAATCTGTGTTGTGTCCCTGTGTGCTGCTTTGTTTTTGCCAGCTTGACCCAAACCAAGACACACCTGCAGAGAGGGAATGTCAGCGGAGGCATCGCCTCCATCAGGTTAGCCTACAGCCACCATGTCTGCAGGCATTTTCAGTGTTCATTGATGAAGGAGGGCCACAGTTTACTGCGGGCAGGGGCCTGCCTTGTAGACTTGTAGGGCATGACTTATAGAAGAAAGATCGCTGAGCAAGTCAATAAGTTGGTCAGTTCCTGCCTGAAGTGTCCTATCCTGACTTCCCTTGATGATGAACTGTTACCTGAAAGTGTGATATGAAATAAACGCTTTGCTTCCCAGGTTGCTTTTGATCGGTATTTTATCAGAGCAACAGGAAGCCTGGTTACTGTTTTTTCTAATTATACATTCTTTACGTTCTTACCATCCAGGAAGTAATTCCTGTTTCTAACCTCCCCCCCCTCCACCCACCCACCCCCCCACCCCCCACCCCCGCCCAAAAGGGTTTCTCTATATTGCTATGGAACTAGCTCTGTAGACCAGGCTGGCCTCGAACTCACAGAGATCTGCCTGCCTCTGCCTCCCAAGTGCTGGGACTAAAGGCATACACCACCAATGCCAGGCTCATATTTTTCAGTGTATTCTTTGAGCTTTGCATATATTATGTGTATATCAAATCTTATATATGTATAATATATTCTATCATATCTACCCCTCTACTTCCCCCTCCAGCTCCTCCCTGACTGCCCACTACCATATCTCCCTTCCAACTTCAGTTCCTCTTATGTTTAACCTACTGAGTCCAGTTAGTGCTTCCAGTATGGGCACAGGTGTAGGCCATCCACTGAAGCATGTACAATTTCTAGGGTAGGGATAGGGGGATGCACATCCCTAAAGGAAATGGACTCTTCCCCCAGGCAGCCAATAGCTCCTCTGCTGGTGTGGGGCTTCAGGAAGAAATTCTTCATGTTGCCATCACCTTACCTGTTTGTGATGCTCATGACACACAAGTTCTTTCAAAGCTTGTAAACGACTGCTTGTGTTTTCTTCCCAGCACCATTGTTGCCAGTACTCCCAGGCCCACAGTAAACATATATTTTCCGATGCTGTCTCCATGGTAAACAAGCAGGGTAAGGGGAGGTCCCTTGGGAATAGGACACTCCAGGGAACCTAGTGTTATATTTAAGAGGCAGGAGGAAGGTGTAGTGTTGGGGAAGACAACTCTGCTCTTACAGACAAGTGAACCAGCCTGATGCCAGGACATCAGGTAAGTTGATGCAAACCAGATCTTTAAATTGCGGCCAATGATGGGACCTGGGAATCAGAAGACCTAAGGGCAGAGCAAAGTTGCAAACCATACTAGGAAAAACAAAAGAAATTGGAAACATCAACTTTCTATTTTTTTTTTTTTTTCCTCCTAACCTGGCATTTTGGCGGTTCAGTTGCAGTTTGCCGAATTGTAGGAAGCCACAGAATGTGTTTGTTCAAGCCTTATTCTCAACTAGTTGAGACTTTGGGCAGATCAAGAACCTGTGGTTTTTATGTAACCATTATTTATCTAGTTTGTTCAACAGGGGGAAGAATAGAGTGTTCTTCAGTTTGCTTTCTTTAGAAGGTCTATTTTAGAGCAGCATTCACTGACTAGCCTTGGTCACTGCTATTGGAAGGAATGTCACACTCATGTGTCTAGTGTGATTCTCGGGATGAGCCTGGCTGTGGTAGGGTCTCTGAGTAGTTAATCCTGAGTAGACGGACATCCCTGTTAGCTGCCTGTAGCCTAAGGACAGCCGCGGCTCCCCTGCCCTCCTCTCTTCTTCCTGTAGCCTCTGCTTAGCCTTCTCACTCCCCCACACAGGTCCTCACTCTTGGCTGCTTTTTGCTCCCTTTGTAAACTGAAGCCATTGAGTTAGCCAGAACGCCACAATGTTAACAGGGTGAACAGAGATGTAGACACCAGGGGCATGTGTTCTTGTGATCTCTGACTTGTAGGAACTTGGGACATGTTAAAGCTAGAAATGTTGGCATATGCCCACTGTGGGGTAAGGGCACATGTGTGGGAGGGTGTCAATACGAAAAGGCTAAATACTGGTTTACAGAGAAACTTGGTGGTCTTGTATGGTAGGCAACCATTTCAGTCCTGGTGCAGTTTTGCTTGAGTACAGTGAAAATAGTTAACATTTTATTGCGATTGTTTTCCCTATACTGCTATCTTTAAACAAAGCCAAACATTATTGTTTGAGGCACATGCACCATGCCATTCTTGTGGAGAGCAGAGTTGGTTCTTTCCCTTCACCTTTACATGGGTTCTAGGGATTCATGGACCCCTCAGGTGGTTAGGCTTTCATATCAGGCAGCAAGCAGCTCTTCCCATTGAGCTATCTTGCATCCTGCAGAGGCCCTCCGTACTGTTTTCTCACTATTACCTGCTCTCTTCCATGAATGAAGTCTGATTCATCACATTATGGTTTCTGAAGAGGTCAGTTCATGATCTAGAGAGATGGTGGCTGTCTGAATGACAACTGTCTTTTGTCATGGGTGGAAATAGACTTGGAGGATTAGGATTCTGGGGAAGAAAACGGTGAAAATGAGGCTGGGAACTGAGTGCCTGAGCCTTGGCTCCTCTTGAAGAGTTCAGACCGGGAAGTAGAGGGTGGAGTGAGGTTGCTCAGTGGTAAGGGCTAGCCTCCAAGCCAGTTAACCTGAGTTTGATCTCCAAAATCCAGGTGGTGGAAGGAGAGGACTGACCCACAGGTTGTCCTCTGAGTTAAACACATGTGTGCATGCATGCAAGTATGCACTCAAATGCCACACACACAAAATAAATAAATGTAAGAACTAAACAAACCCAGAGGCTATAAAAATAGGCCACAGACTTAGAACTTGGGATTGATTCCACCCCTATAGCAATGGAACAATAAAGTGTCCTGCTAGGTAGGATGTCCCAGAATCCCAGGATGCCCAAGACTTCCAGTCCCACACTGGTTAAGAGCTCTGCAGGGTAAATTCAAAAGCTAGTGAGTTGTGGCCAGCTCTATAGACTTTACTTCATTCTTAGACCCAAGGAGTTGGACGTTAGGGTCAGCAATGGAGAGAGGTGA